AAAAAAAGTATCTGCCACCACTCCCCCCTAAATAGGTCAGAGACCTATTCCATCCCACACTTTCTAGCATTCAACTCCGTGTTGCTTTGCACTGTTTTTTGGTGTTTGTTATTATAGTTTATTAGTGATGTTTATATTGTTGTAAACGTGTCTAGTTTGAACTGATTGATATCAAGTCCACTGGCTGTATACAAGACCTATAAGATACTGGCTGGACTCAATCCACCACATTCCACCTAGAACTAATATATTATTTGAGTGGAGTGATCCTTTAAAGGGTTATTAAACCCTCAGCTTTTTTTGCATATATCTACTGCTAGCAAGCAGTAGATATATGCAAAAACCTTTAAAAAAGTTTTACAAGGGGCTAAAACTTACCTGCGTCTTTGCCGCTCGCTCCCATCCGAAAATCTGAAAAATCTTGGGCGGCCGCAAAGGATCTTGGGGGGTGGGGCATGCACAGTTCAGATTTTCGGCTGGGAGACGTGGAGAGACACAAGGTAAGTCTATGGACAGCGTGCACCTGCATGCAGACACCGTGGGACAGGAAGTGCCAGCAACCACAGAGGAGTCAGCGCTGGATTGGAGACCCGGAGCAGCGCTGGAGGGACATCTGGAAGCGACTGGAAAGAAGATGATTGGATTAAGAGACATCATTTAAGGTAAGTGCTTACACCAACATTGGGGGGAGGGAAAGAAAATATATACTTTAATGTCACTTTAAGTAACTCTTCAAATGTTTTGTTTGATCCAAATTTATAGTGTTTATACTGTACAGTTGCTGATGCTAACCCAAGTGGTAAAAAAAAAAAAAAAAAAAAAAAGAAGAAGCATGTTTGCCAAAACGTGGTCTCCTGCTAGTGCAGATTGAACCAGTGAATAATTATTTAACAGGAAACACAATTATAGTATTTATCATTATATCCAATGGTGTTTCAATTATAAACAATTGGCCACTTACAGAAATATAACCTTGCCATAAAATTGAGAATCCCCTGTATTATAAAACAAAGTATCTCAAACTTTCTCAGGTGTACCGTACTTTGAGTTTAGTAAACCTTACTACAAAATATTGCCTCCCCTGAGTCTAGTTCATTTTTAGATATAAAATATAACATCTGGGATTTCCTTTTTGTCACTGGCATCTCCTTTAAAATTATTTTGAAATATCCAATAAGCTAAAACTATATAACATAGCGTTAAATGTAAATAATTTTAATTATTTACAAAATAGGAGATTGCTTGATGTCTCTACAAATCATTTTACACATACCCATGCAAAGAGAAAAAAGTTATAAAGAATCAGTATTTATCTTTCATGTTGCCAAAAGGAAAATTGTAAAGTAAAATGGATTAAATGAAAGAGGACAAACAACTATGCTACACAGAACCCATTGTTATAAATAAAAATAAAAAAAGCAAGCAGCGATCTCAGGGTGGATTTTCTTTGAAGTATGGTACAGAATAAACATATGTGGGTAGTCACTGATTCATGGCCATATGAAAAGAAAAAAACAGTTCTGTATTAAGATTAATACAAATCGTCCAACCATGCAAATATGACGCAAAACAAAAGCTCTCTTGTACAGAATCACAAAACTAAACTGTTTGCACAGTGGCAAGAATTTTAACACATATAGTAAAGACAGCATGGTATGTGACAATATACAGAGAAGAACAGACTAGAACTAGGCCAGAAGCAAAATGGAGGTCTGCATTCAATAGCTTCATTAAGGAAGTTAGTTTTGTCAGATTTTAGTTCTGAAGGACATTCTGTAGTAGACACAGCATTTAGTACTCCATAATTAAAAAATAATATTCTCTTAGTTCTATTTTTCAGCTGTCACTTTTTTTGTACATTTACTACTAGATGTTTACCCTCTATCCATCTGGTGTCCATATTCTCATTACTGAAAAAGTGAGATGAAATATGTAAGATAAATCATTCTCATCAGTCATCACATTTCTAGCACCAGAAAAGCAATGAATTGTAATGAGTACACATTTGATAGAAGCAGGAAATGCAGAAACATGTGGTGGTTTAAACGCTAATAAAATAGATTCTAAGAGTGAGCTTTATAGAACACTTGAGCATATACACATGGAATTCTCCAATACAGATGTGATTTTTCCCCTATATTTTTTGGCACCACCACATCACAAAGCGCTTTAACATAGTACAGAGAACCATTAAAGTCAGTCTCTGCCCCATAAGCGCTTACAAACTATAGTCTTTAGCAAACAAATAATTGTTTCTCAGGATGTTTTTGGGTTGCAGAAGGAATCAAAACAGAACCAGAAAGATTATATAGTTTTCCTAGTTAAAAAAAGTCACCCACGACCCCCAGCACTGCATGGCAAACCATAATGTCCACCTGGCCTTTATGCTACCGAGTGTGTTTACTTTGTGTTTTCCAAACACTAACAGAAAACATTATATCTCATACATATTTTAATGGAGGACCTCATTATGCATACACATTTACATGACCAAAAAGAGGTCACTTTCCATGTTTCTCTCAAGACGGGTTTCTTTTAGGAATGTTACAATGTCTAGGAAAGACTATTCAAAATAATGGTCTATAACAGATCACAATCTTTCCAATTTCAAGACTCAATGTCCTTCAGTAGTGAGCGGACGATTATTTTGTACACACACAAATGCACAGCATTTTCGTAAACCTCCTGTATTTATCAAACAAGGTGTCTATTTATAAAGCAGTGAATGTAACTTGCAAAAAAATCTCTGGTGGTGAATCAATCACCTTGAAGATCCTCCCCCTTAATGTTTCATGTAAAATGATTTTCAGTCTTTTTCTTATTAATGCAAAAAAACAAATATATAGTTTTTTTTAGACATGCCAGGCAAACTGAATTCATGCGTACAAACCTATTGTTAAGTGAACTAGCTCCAAACGTCTTGAAAATTATTAAGACGTTTCAGAACCCTTAGAAAATCTCATAAAAGAACAAAATGTCTATTGATGTTCAAAGTGGATACAATACAGTTGTTTGACTTGATCCTTTTAACTGTAGACAATACATGTGCATGCAATAACATGTATTGACTGCATTAATATCCAGATCAAAAAGGGCACACCTACACCAAAGTATGTTTTCATTATTTTTTTCACTGACACCCTTTTAGTGGATTATCTAAAGACGAAAAACAAAGCAGCAAACAAATCAGCGATCAACTTTTTTTTTGAGTCAAGTCACACTTTTAAAGTATGGAAAATCAAGGCACCCCTAGTGCGAGGCAAACTTGGGAAAAAAAATTGGGTTTTGACACACGTT